TGGGCTGGGGGCCGGGGCTGGATGGACAGACACCTCCCCCTACCCATACCCCTCCTGTGTGTGGTTGGAAAACTTTTTTGTTTTTTGGGGTTTTTTTCTGAATAAAAAAGATTCTACTAACAAGGTGCTGTGTGGTTTGAGCTTGGGTGTCAGACTGGGGGACAGGCACTGTGACTTGCTGCCTTTATCCTGGCTTGGGGTTGGGAGCAGGAGGGCTGAGGCACTACAAAGTACAGGAATTTGAGCTTCTCGCTTCCATGTCCAGGCCTAAGCATCTGCTTCAGACCTTTGTGGCCAGGTAGCCCAGCTTTGGTGTTTGCAGGCCCAGGTCCTCAAGTGTGCTGGTCAAATTGGGGTAATCGAATGGAGCCATCCAGACCAGAGAATGGGTCCAGGCCCGCGGGCAAGGCAGGGCCAGTTGAGTCATCCTCATGTGGGTGGGGCTCCCCTTCTGAGTCACAGCAAACGCCTGCTGGGGCTGTCCCCATGACTACAGGTTAGTCTCTCCTGGCACTCCCCTGCCCCTTTTTGGCAAAATAGGGGTGATTCCCCCAAAGCTATGTTTACCTGTGTGAGAATGATCTCACCCTTCCTTGGTCCACAAAACCAATTTTTTATTAACCCAAGAAGTAAAGACCCAGTCCCTTTGTTCCCTCCTCCTCAAGTGCCCTCAAATGTTAGGGCTAGGTTAAGGGAGAAACCTGGGATGGAAATGTCCCCTATCCCTCAACTTAGAAGACTAGAGGAAGAGGATCTGTGCAAATAGGTCACCAGAGGTGTGTGTGTATGGGGGTGGGGGATATTACACCAGGATGGCAGGGGAAAGAGAAGAGGAAGAGGAGGAAGGAGAGGGTGGGGGATCTGTTGAGGGCCCAGGAAAAACAAGAGGGGCTGGGGCTAGGGAACCAAAGGAAGTGGGAAGAGTGGGACTGGAGCCTAGGAGTGGGGTCCGTTCTGAGGCAGGGTGGTCCCTTGGCTCCCCTTCCTCATCACCTTCCTCTTGCCCCTGAATTTCTTCCTCCTGCTCCTCATCCCCAGGACCCCGATGAACAGGCTGCTTGCAAATAGGGCAGGTCTTCCGAGTCTGAGTGAGCCAGGGGTCCACACAGCGGCTGTGATAGGCTGCAGAGAGGAATGAGGTGAATGAAGCACCTGGTGCCTGCCGGTGGCACAGGGGCATGGGCACAGGCAGTGAGGGCCTCACCGTGAGCACAGGGGAGTACCCGCAGCTTGTCCCCATCCTGATACTCATCCAGGCAGATGGCACAGACATCATACTGGTCCCCTGGAGAAGGAAAGTAATTTACTCCATCACTGAGCCACGCTGAACCATGGCCCCCAAGAACTAACTCTGGCAGGCCTGTGGTAGAGCTAAGTCTTGCAAAAATTCTTTTCCCTGGTCTACAGAGCCAGTGGAAGAGCTAAGACAGGGAGGCAGGATAAGGCCAGGGCAGAACATGGAAGAATTTGGGGCTAGAGGGGACAAGCAAAGAGAAGCAGAGGTAAGAAGGGAAGTGGGTTTTTGGGGAGGTGTGAGGGTGGAGAGACAGGGAGCGGGAGGAGCGGAAGTGGGGGGCAGGGCTTCTGCTACAGCCTTATATGGGCACTGGAGGCTCCAGGGCCTAAAGACCCAGCCCCTCCTTACCTGTTTTTTCCTTTTCTGACTGAAGCCTCCCCACTCCTTCCATTTTTCTACTCCACCTCCCTTATAAGCAAGGTCTCTCTCCCCATTATTTCCCCCAACTACTTCACTTAACCATCTTTGCTTTCCATCTCCGGTATTCCACCTCTTCTGTCAGTGTATTTGTGGATACACAGAGAAGAAATGATGGCTTTTCAGGCAGATATCTTCTCACCGCCAGCTTGCTTTACCCCTTATCTCCTGGGCTCAAACTCTTTCAGAACCAGGTAAGCCGTGGAAAAGGCCCTCCTCTCCCTTAACCCCCTCACCCTTCTGATAGTCATGCGTAGGAATCTGCTTCAGTTGTTCTTTGGTAAGTCGATTCCGCTGGAGCCGTTTCCGGTGCTGGATACAACGAACTATCTGGGGAAAGAGGGAGTGGATAGACCAGGCTTAGGAAGCAACACTGAACAATCTAGGACAAACCACCCCCACCTCCCAACTCCAGATCCAGTCTGGCCTTATAGGCCCCAGGTCTTCCCATCATGCTCCCTGAGCTACTCACCATCACTGCTCCCATGGCCAAAACCAGCAGTCCCACTATCCCTGTGAAAGGGATGAGGTAATAGCCCAAGGGGAAGCTATTGTCTGGAACCAGAAGCACCCGAGCCCTGGGGAAAGGAAGACCAGTCTCACCAGGGCAAGAAGGCAAAGGCACAAAGGAAGAGGGTCAAAACAACTGGCTCCGGACAAGTCCCATGGGTGGGCAAGGGAGTGGGAAGAAAGTCAGAAGTCAAGGAAGGAAGGACCTGAGGCTGAATGGATGGGGCAGTGAGGCTTGAGCTCCAAGTTGGCATGGAACTGCTGAAGGATGAGTGGGAGGGAGGGACATGTCCTACCCCTTGTCGTAGACGAAGAGGGCACGCAGGTACTCAGAGCTCCTCTCCCCAATAAACACAGATGGGATCCAGATCTGCTGCTGTATTTCCTCTGCAGGGATCAGGATATTACTCCAGGGACTCAACCTTCCACTCAGATCCTTTGGGAACCCTGGCATTTGGCACTTTTGCCCCATCCCACCCAAAGGATTGGTTTCTTTTCCCTAAGGTTTCAACCCTCCCACCATCTCTCAGTCTGAGCTCTACTGAAAACCCAGCTATTTAGATCCCCCAACCTTACCGCTATTCCACACCATGTTCAGAAGTTCATTGGAATTCACATTGTGTACAATAGCTGCACCATACCCAGCCTTCTGGGCATTCAGGACCTAGGGAGACAAGGAATAGGATAAGGAGCCACCATGGGCCTTGCCCTTCTTCATTCCTGTGGCACCTTTTTTCACCCTCAGCTTCCCAGCTCCCACTCCATATTCAGCAACCTTGAGGTCAAAGTTGCAGTCGAATCTTCGAAGCAGTGCAATAAAGACTGACCCATTGACCGGGGCTGGGGGTGGTGGGGCAATGGGGCTGCAGGCATTGTCTGGGTGAGCCTCCACAAGGAACCCCTGGGGAAGAGAAGCAAACTGTTAGATTTCTCGCCCCTAGGTTCTGCTCTCCAGAGGGCCCACCAACCACACTGGTCCCCACATGTTGCACATTCTCTATCCTCACTTCCTTCTCTTTTCTGGGGTCTGAGCATCACATCCAAGTCAGAAGTCTACATCTTCTCTTAGCCTCCTGAAAATGCAATTACATCAAACATCCCTTCTCCAGACCCCTCCCCTTAACCCTCTCCCTGTCCCAGATGGGCTAAACTGTACCCTGTACTCCAGGCTAATTCAATTCTGCCTCCCAGTTCCCCACCGATTGTAATTCAGTTCTCTACCCATCTTTGTCACTTTCTCTCAAGTTCTGTTTCATAATCCCCTCTCCAGTACACACTACTCATACAGAACACACTCCCATCTCTTCAATTTTCTAGTTACCCATCTCGCAAACAACTCTACTGCTACCTATGACCCAACTGAGTTCTTCCTATGTGGCAGTCATTGTGATGAAGTACCACAAAACTGCTTATATAATTTAATCCTCACAATAACCCTAAGATAACTTCCATTATCCCATTTTACAGTAAAACAAATTAAGGCTCATAGAGATAATTAACTTGCTCAAGGTCATACAATCAATAACTGCCTCCTGACACCCTACTGATAAGCACTAACTTGGTCGTGCTTTTTATCTTAGTCCACTTTCAGTCTCCCTGATATGCGGAGTTCCAGGGGTGAATATTTTGACTTCTCCCTTAAGATTCTGGATTCTACACTAGACATGCTCGTGCACTTGGTTCCTAATTTGATTCTTCCTACCATCAGCTTCACCCAGGACAAGGCTCCCAAACCCTGCTCAGGATGGAGGATTTTGTGAAATAGAAAAAAAAGGGACGGAAATCACCTGGAGTCCCTCCTGGCTCAGCGTAGCCCCAAATAGAGCTGGGAGGTCTGCAAAGTCCATGCTGGCATTGTGATCCGAGGTCTGCGGACAAACAAGCATGTTCCCCTTCAGCCTGCAACCCCTCCTTTCAGCGCCCTCCCCCACCCGCCCCTCAGACTCACCGCTCGAATGAGCCCCCGAATGGGGGCCGCTCCCCACAGGACAGTGGCTACAACCACAGGAATCGGGAAGGCCGCAAGGTGCATGACAGCGGGAGGGGGGAGGGTAAGAAGGCCGTGTCCTGGTAGTGGAGTTCTGCGCCCTCCCTGCCCCTCCTTTAGGATCCCAGGGGTCCAACCACCCCCAGGTCCCACTTCTCAGCTACATGGGGGCGCGAGAGAAGGAATCCCAACTCGGGGAGTGAGATATCTAACCCGCTCAGTGGAGCTGGGAGGGAGGCACTAAATGTATCCTTTTCTGGTATAGAGATAAAACGGAGAAAGGGACGGAGACAAACACAGGTGACAGAAAAACTTCTGGAAGGGTGGGGGAGCTCAAGGAGGTGGGACTTCCGGCCAGGTAGTCCGTCTTCCTATCCCCTGGAAAAGGGGTTCCGGTAAAGAAAGTCAGGCCGCTTCCAGCATTGGACGCTCAAAATGGACTTCCGGTCCTGAAAGGCTGGTTAAAAGAAAGGTTAGAAATGGAGGGAGTGCCTGTGGAGTTGGAGGGAGCACCGATGCCTCAGATGACCTAATCGTCCCCGCTTTAGTGCCCAGGATCTTGGAGTTGCCCTGTTTACAAACCTTTCCTCCCTCTGGCTGCCGCCGCCGCCGTACTTCCAAGTCTCGCGAGAGTGCTCACCACCTCCGCCCCAACCCGCGGTCCCAGAAATTTTGCTATATCTATCGCGAGACATCTACTTTGGCCAGCCTGACTCTCTCGATCTCGCGAGATCTTCAAACAAACTCTTCTGTCTTTTCCCGCGATTCCAATTCGGTAAAAAGTGCGCCTGTACTCCGGTTTCCTAAATCAGTCACACCCCTTCCCGCACGCATTTTTCAAGCTCCTCCTTCAGCTCCGCCTTATTCCCGGCCGCCTTTGCGCTGCGCGCCTGCGCCCGCTCCGGCTTCCAGCTGGTGCCGGACCTGAGAGCTGGGGGGGGGGGGGTGCGCGCGCGCCTTCGCCCTGTTGCGCGCGCGGTGTCACCTTGGGCGCGAGCGGGGCCGCGCGCGCACGGGACTCGGAGCCAAGGGCCATTGAGTGGCGATGGCGACGACGGCGAGTCCCGGGGCCGGCGGGGTAGACGGGAAGCCCCGTACCTCCCCTAAGTCCGTCAAGTTCCTGTTCGGGGGCCTGGCCGGGTAAGCTCAGGCCCCAGGGATGGGAAAGGAGGAGGAAGGGACGGGAGCAAGGAACCGGGCCCGGTTTATCTCTGGGTCTTTTGCAGTGACCTGTGCCGGCACGCGGTCAGCGCGATCCCTAGTGTTTTGCGAGGTCCTTGATAGGCTGCCAAGAGCCCATTGTAGGGCCGGCCCCTGCTGGACTGTGTGCAGGGTCGTTGCACAACCCCCGCCAGCCCACTTGTGTTTCCCAGCCCATTGCTTAGCTGTGCTTGGCTATGGGGTTCCAGGTCATTGAATGGCTCCTGCAGGACTACCCGGAGTCCCAGGTCGTGAATGCCCCTCCTCCTTCCTTTCCTGCGTCGGACTGCATGCGGTCCCAGGTTACCTCTTGACTCATGGAGCTACTTGGAGCAGCTTCATTGCATGGCTCCTACCGGATTTTCAGACTTTTAAGACTCATTGCTGTTGGTACACACAGACTCTTACACACATGCTCACCAGCCTTTTGAATCCTTAATTGCATGACCATTGTAACTCTGCTGGCAGTCTCCAGTGGGCATTGGTAGATCTGGGACATCTGGCCCTTGACTCCACCCCTTCTTCCCCCAGGATGGGAGCTACAGTTTTTGTGCAGCCCCTGGACCTGGTGAAGAACCGGATGCAGCTGAGTGGGGAAGGAGCCAAGACTCGGGAGTACAAAACCAGCTTCCATGCCCTCACCAGCATCCTGAAGGCAGAAGGCCTGAGGGGCATTTACACCGGGTACTGGGGCCTCAGGATGGGGGGTAGGGTGTGGGTTGGCAGCTCCAGAGCTTGGTCTGACATACTGACCCCTTCACTTTCCAGGCTATCAGCCGGCCTGCTGCGCCAGGCCACCTACACCACTACTCGCCTTGGCATTTATACCGTGCTGTTTGAGCGCCTGACTGGGGCTGATGGTACACCCCCTGGCTTTCTGCTGAAGGCTCTGATTGGCATGACCGCAGGTGCAACTGGTGCCTTTGTGGGAACACCAGCTGAGGTGGCTCTTATTCGCATGACTGCTGATGGCCGGTGAGTTCCAGGTCTGAGCCTCCCCCAGCCCCATTCCCTGGAATCCAAGAGGAAAAGACCAGTTTCTTATCCAAGATCTGGAACAGAGCATTTACCTGTTCTAGTCTCCCTTTCTTTGCTCCTGTGGGGTAGGGTGGGCTTTCCTGATCTTGGTCTCTCTCTGATTTCCCACCAGGCTTCCAGTTGACCAGCGCCGTGGCTACAAAAACGTGTTTAATGCCCTGATTCGAATTGCCCGGGAAGAGGGGGTCCCCACACTGTGGCGGGTGAGTGAAGGGTCTGGAGACTTGGGGAATGTGGGGTCAGGTCTTAGGCATTTCTGATTCTTCTCTCACTCCCCTACTTCCAGGGCTGCATCCCTACCATGGCTCGGGCTGTCGTCGTCAATGCCGCCCAGCTGGCGTCCTATTCCCAATCAAAGCAGTTCTTGCTGGACTCAGGTGAGACCCAGAGCTGGGCTCTCAGCTCCCAGCCTGGCCTGGGCCACCTCTGAGCTGACCAACATCCCCACTTCACCTTCCAGGCTACTTCTCTGACAACATCTTCTGCCACTTCTGCGCCAGCATGATCAGCGGCCTCGTCACCACTGCTGCCTCCATGCCCGTGGACATTGCTAAGACCCGGTGAGTGTGCAGGCCTGGGCCTGGGCGGCAGTGGGAGGGCCCCCTTCTCTCTCACATCCCTACCTCGTCTCCTTCAGGATCCAGAACATGAGAACGATTGATGGGAAGCCAGAATACAAGAATGGGCTGGTGAGGAAGCGAGGCTGGGCCTGGGTGGGAGTGTTGGGTGCCCTGGGAGGGCTGTGAAGGTAGCTGGATAAGGAGAACAGGGCTGTAGAAGTCAGGTCCTAGCCCCCGCACCCTGCCTGCCTGTCTTTCTAGGATGTGCTGTTGAAGGTTGTCCGCTACGAGGGCTTCTTCAGCCTATGGAAGGGCTTCACACCGTACTATGCCCGCCTGGGTCCCCACACTGTCCTCACCTTCATCTTCTTGGAGCAGATGAACAAGGTCTACAAGCGTCTCTTCCTCAGCAGCTGAGGTGGCCTGGAGCCAGTGTGCCAGGGCTGCCATTCAGCCGCTGCTCCTACGGTCACTGCACCCCGGGGGCCTGGACTCTGCTGCCCTGGGCCCCTCTATTTATTTCCCTCCACAGTGTGGTCTCCTCCTTTGCGGTAAAGGACTTTGGTCTGTTCTACCCCCTGTTCCGGCTTGCCCTGCTTGCCTTGATCCTATGACCACTCTGTCGCCGGCTGTTCCTTGGGGGAAGCTGGATAACTCCCTGAGGATTTCTGGCCTCCTCTTGGGTGTTAGTTTCAGGGCACACAGGACAACAGAAGATCCCCCTTCTCAGTGGAGAAACCAAGGCAGAGCTGAGGGGATAGGAGAGAGCAGAAGCTAACAAGATGGTCAAAGGGTCTGAAGTGGGAGGACATGGCCCTTCCTCCCCCTCATTGAGGACTTAATAAATTGGATTGATGACACTACCCCCAATCTGGAGAGTTGTGGGGTTTAGGAGGGGAGGAGACTGGACAAAGAAGCTGGTGTCCCCGGAGAACAGGAACTGGAGTTTTTAAGAATTATTAAAGAAAAAGCACCCGCTGGTTTTGTGCAAATGCTGTGTAAATCCACCCTGCTATAGCAGCTGACGGGGCCAGGAAACCCCGGACTCCAGCCCTGTGTGTTGCTTCCCAGCCGCTTGCCCAAGAATGCAGCAGACTCACAAATCATCTCAGTAATCCCCAGGAAAAGCCCCTGGGGTCTGGTGACTGCTTCTGTAGCCTAAAGGTGGGGGAGGGGAAGCCAGGCCCAAAGCCTGGAGGCTTGAGGAAAAGGAGGGTGTTGGCCAGAGACTGGATCTGGGTCCCAGCCTGGGGCAAGTGAATGCTTTATCCTTTCTTTAGAGGGAGATATTTGGTTCCCAGGCCCAACCCTTAAGGAGCCTAAAAACCTGGAGCATACACAGGCATGGAAAGGTCAAACTGAGGAGTGCGGGACAGCATGCAGCCCGAGAGCATTGTGCCAGGCCAGGGGACAGGCAGGCAGCAGGTGGGAGCTGTCCCCTTGGCAGAGCCTTGGCCACGGAAGAGGTGGAGCTCAGCACCCTTGCTGCTGCCTCCCTTCTTGCCCCTGTGTGCACACCATGTCCTGGGCCTTGTCCTTAAGGAGTTCCGGCTCTAAAGGGGAAGAATATGCAGGAACAGTTGGGAAACGGAATATAGCAATAGACCACTGCAGGCTAACTCAGAGCACCTGGCCCAGCCTAGGAGACACCTACCCAGCAGTTGGGGACAGGGTGGGGGCTGCACTCCTGGCTAGAGTGAGGGCAAAGGCTTGGAGAATTTTGATGGGGAGCAGGTGATCCATGAAAAATTGGCAACAGTTGCAGCGAGGGTTGTGAAGTGCTGAGAGGTGAAGCTGAAGTGTTAGATGGGGTCAGTGCGTGGAACTGACCAAGCTCAGAAGTAAGTGACTGCTAAGCTCAGGAGTTTGTCCTCTACCTGGGGAGGAGTTCAAAGCAGGGAGAGATGCAGTCAGATTTTCAGGTTAGGCAGATCCTTCAGTACCATCAGGAGGAGAGGGTCTCCACGGAGCCAGAAAAGCCCAACCTTCTCTCTCATTCCCTAGGCCCCTAGCCCTGGTTTGGGCTGGAGACAAGGCAGGAGAAGAAGCCTCACCAGTGTGGTTAGGGAATGGCAGGGCCTGTGGAACCAGGGGAGAGAAGTGGGTTCCATTTGCCTGTGTCCTAGCTTGAGGGCAGGATACCCAAGCTAGGGTTTTATTCAGTCAAACCCTCTGAGATGGCAGACACTGCTGGGTCCACACCCTTCTCGTCCTGCTGACCTGGGCAGTGAGGAGAGCTGCACTTCTGAGGTGGGTACCTTTGCCGTTAGTACTGCAAGCTGCAAGAAGGTAGGCCTCAATAGTGTCCCTAAACTCCAGGGAGACTTAAGGTTCTTGAACTGGACCTGATGCTTGGGGTGGCCTGGTGGGTGGCCAACCCTGGAGAACAGAAGGAGGTGCCCCAGGCTGGGGAGGTTTATTGGGTGAGTAGTTGTGACCAGGGTGGGGGCACCTGGGGCCTTGGGAATTCTCATGACAAGTGCCCCAGCCACTCTTTCCCTCTCCAAAGAAACTAAATTTTCTTTTTAAAATTATTTTTTATTATACAAATAATATACAATGATGATGGAAAACTAGAAAATGCCAAATAGAGAAAAAGAAAATAAAACCACCCATATTTATAACACCCAGAGACAATCTAGTGTTCACAACTTGATACATGGCTTTCCGAATTGTCTTCTATGCTCAGATGCATGTGGGAGCCACACTCTGCTCCGCTTATTTGCTTTTCCTAAAAACTCTTCCCAAGCACAGTGGTGATAGCCATGTGATCTGGCAACACCCTGTGCAGCATAGGGAGCTTCGTCCTATGAGCCACCCAACTCCTCCATCTCTCTGCCCTTCCTGATTTGCTGGCTCTGAGGTTGTGTGTGCAGTGTGAAGAGGGCCCCGTGACCCTGTGCTCCTTACCCACCCCCCCACGCCCACCCCCAGCTAGATCCCAGTAGGAGAGCCCATCAGAGCCTCTTGAGGTCCCCAAACCTCCTATCCTCAGAGGCTGTGGCCAGAGTAACGAATGCCCACTGTGCCCAGCAGGTCCTGACCACGACCCTGACTCAGAGCTGAGGGCCGCCGTCCTGCTACCAGAGGCCCCACACGGCCATTAGGCCGTATCCACAGGAAGAGGCTGGAGCGGAAAGTGGGCAGTGAGCCTCGAAGGAAGAGCAGCCAGGCCCGGGGCACCATCACTTGCCTTCCCCTCTGTAACTCCAGATGTGTGGTTTGCGTGGCTGTGGCCAAAGCAGCACCCTGGCCGTTGTCCAAGGCCTGTGGCTTCACGTGCTGGACCCAGGTCAGCAGCAGGATGAGGACCACAGAGGCAAACAGGAGCCAGAGGAGACCCAAGACATAGAAGCCCAGGGAGAGGAGGCAGCAAAAGTCAGGGTTAAGAAAAGGGTCATTTCTGGAGCTATCTAAATTCCCTTGAGCCACCCTATGGTGGACAGATTCAGGGATAATAGTTATGATGGGTTCTAAGGTAGTAGAGAGTGAGGTGGGTTCTACGGTAGTTAAGAATATGATGGTGTTTGGGGTGGTTGGGGTTGTGGTGGGCTCTGGTGTGGTCAAGGTTGTGGAGGGCTCTGTGGTGATTGGGGTTGTGGCGGGCTCTGAGCTGATGGTCAAGGCTGTGGTGGGCTCTGGGCCGCTGGTCGGGGTCGTGGTGGGCTCTGGGCCAGTGGTCAGGGTTGTGGAGAGCTCTGGGAGGGTCAGGGTTATGGTGGGTTTACTAGTGGGTTTTGGAGTTTGGGAGAATGTGATGGATTTCGTGGTAGTTGGGAATATGGTGGAATCTGGGATCCATCTGGTTGGGAATGCAGTCTGGTTCTCAGTGGATTCTTGCACTGGACTCAAGGAAGACATTTGGCTGTCTATAGAAGCAGTAGACTGTGAGTAGAGTAGGCCCCAGTGGGTTATATGGGCTGTGGTGACCACAGTCCTTGTGGTACCCACCTTATCACCCTCAGTGTCCTCTTCTGTATAGTCATCATAGTCCATGGCATCTGCATCACCAAGAGTGGGGCAATCCTTTCCTTGGAACTTGTAGATGGGTTTCTCGTCTGAATCGAAACATTTCACACTGGCCACATTGGGGGTCATGACCTTGACATCCATACCCTCCTTCCATACGTAGACATTCTCAGGATTGTTTTGCAGCCAGCCACGGAAATAGAGGATCTCACAGTTGCAGTGCCAGAGGTTGTCATGGAGAAAAGCAAAAGGCAGGAGGAGGGTCCCAAAGAAACCCTTCGGTATCGTGCGCAGCGAGTTCCCTTGGAGGTAGAGGGTGTCCAGGTCCTCCAACCCATCCAGGAGCCCAGAGGGCAGCTCGACCAACCCGTTATTAGCTAGATTGAGCTTCTTCAGCTGGGGTGTGGGTGCCAGGAGTCCTGGGGGCAGAGTCTTTAGCTTATTGTCACGCAGGTAGAGCTCATGGAGTTGGCTCAGGCAATCCAGGGCACCTGGAGACAACGAGGTCAGCTGGTTGAAGGAGACATCCAGGGACCTGAGAGCAGGCAGTGCTGGCCCAAGCGGGGGTAGGCTTTGCAGCTTATTGTGGGATATATCCAGGGTCTCCAGCAGTGGCAGCTTTTCATCCGTCTGCAGCTTGGTCAGCTCACATTGACTTAGGTGCAGCTGAGTGAGGCGAGGGAAAGACACCAGCGATGCCGTGGAGAAGTTGTGCAAGGGATTCTCACCCAGGCGGAGGATGGCTGTGTCTTTTGGCAGGTCGGGAGGCAATGCCGTCAGCTGCTTGTTATCACAATTCACTTCTAGTTGGCTGGCCACTTTGGTGAGCTCACAGGGGTGTAAGGGGTTTGGCAGCAGGAGCAGCAAGAGCAGGAGAGGCATGGGGACCTGTGGGCAAGCGGGCCTTGAGTGGACACCCCAGCAGTCCCCAGCGGCATTCCCCCAGCCCCAAGCCCCCTGCAGCTTCCCTTCCAGAAACTCAGCTGCCACAGCTCCGTCCTCCCTACTCCCCTCTCCCACCCTCGCCCCCAGAGCCCAGACTGCCAGCTCCAGGTCCTCAGCTCCCATCCCTTCCCCAGCCCCAGCCCTGGCTTACAGGCAGGCGGAAAGACCTCCGAAGGCACAGAGCTGCTTACAGGGTGTAACTGGTCCTTCTCTCTTCCAGCCCCAGGGAGGGTTTGGCCAGGGGCAGGAAGGGGTTAGGGATGGGGAGGAAAAGCCAGCCTGATAGGACTCCTGTGAGCCAGGGAACAGTGTCTCCCTGGGACACAGACCCTTATCACCTCCCTCCACAGCTTCCCCCAGGCACTCCCTTTGCTCTGCTCTCTCCGGATTCCCTTCCACAGACTCCTCCGACCACCACCTTCCTCCATCTTTTAAGAACCTCTCCAGATGCCACCTCTCTTCCCCTTCCAGCTGTGTTCTTAGAGTTGCCTGATTTTCATTCTCTCCCGCCCCACGGCCCTCTGCCTTCTCACTCCAGGCTGGGCTGATTTCTCCGCCCCTCTACTCCCTTGACTTGGCTTTTGCCACGGTGGCTGGTGCCTTCACTTCCTCTGCGTGCACTGGACACTTCTCCATGGTGACCCCACTGGATTCCTGCAGGCTGCGTACCCATGGCTGCTCCCTCCTTGGGACTCTTCCTTTGGCTTCTGTGACATGTGACCCTGTAATTTTCTTGGTTTTCCTGTTACCTATCTGGTTGGTCCTTCTCAATCTCCTTCATGGATTCCTCTTCCTCTGCCCTTCCTGAGCAATTAACTTGCCCGAGAGTTTGTTACTCGGCCCTCCTCTTATACTACACAACCACCTGAAATTGTCCTCATTCACTCCCTTGCCTACACCCCTATACCTTCTACCACCTATACCCCAGTGATTCTCAAATCTATATCTCTAGTCCAGACCTGTCTCCTGAGACCCAAACACATGTGTCCACTGGCTTTTGGACTTCTCTACTTGAATGTCCCACAGGCACTAAAACATATGTTCAAAACTGAGCTCATCATCTCTCTCCAAATAGCCTCTCCTCCCATGTTTGTTCAACCTGGTGAATGGTACCATCATGTACTCATTGATGTAACCATTCAGTCAATACAAACAAGGTCCCTGATAGTCACCCCTAACTCCTCCCTGCATTCATCCCCACATCCAACCCATCACCTAGTTCTGCGGATTTTTATTTCCATTTTCTCTCAATCTTCTCTCCATCTCTCAATCTACACTCCTGGTCCAGGGTACCGTCTTCTCCCTACTGCATCCCTGCAACAGCCACCTCACTGGTGTCCCAACTTTCTGATTTCCCTTTTTCTGTCCATTCTCCACCAGTGTGGTCTTTCAGAACTGCAAATTTGCTCCTACCCTTCTGCTCCCCAGTGGCTCCTTACAGATCTCAGGAGGAAGTCTAAAGTCCCTAGCATAGCCTGCAGGGCCCTGTGAGATCTGGCCCTTGCCTGCCTGTCCAGCCCCACCTTTTACCATTCTACTCTCTTTCTTGATCATTCTCCTTCCCGTACCTAAACTTTCCACTCCCTATCCCCTTCTGCCTAACTCTTACTTATCTGGCAAGTTCCAGCTCAGAATTTCTTCCTCTGGAAAGTCTTTTCTGACTTCCCAAGACCAGGTAAGATGTCTATTTCAGAAAGTCAGCCACCCTGTCTGTTGGTCCACTGTCCCTTCTAATGATGAAAATGCACCCTTTATTGTTCCCCAGAAGGAGCTCCATGCACCCACCTGACCCTGCCCCTATCTGCTTACAATGGTGACTGGATATTTGAGCCAGTTAATTCATAGACTTGCTATATATATATATATA